TTGACTAAGCATACCAATAGCACATCACTTCTGTTTCATCAGATCCCGACGCATCTCTGGTGAATAAGAACCATCAGGATGTCCGGAGTTACGTTCGGCAATTAAGTGTGATTGACAACCAGAGGACTTTATCACAGATGTCACACCGGTTAGAACCACGACGTGCTTAAAACGTTTCAAGTGATTACACCTTCCCCTTTTTCTCCGGTACAAGGTCATTTGTTCGACTTTCTGTGCTACTGCACTGCCACTGCAAATATAAGCCACAACAGATTCTAACATCTTAGGTAATTAACGCACAATGGTACCTGCCTTCCCTGAGAAATAACAGAGGCTGTTTGAAGAGGTCGTGAGCTGTAGCTGGGAGATTACTGGTGTTATATATACTTCTGGTTCATTTTGAAACACACGAAACGTCTTGTATATAAAATAAATCTTTATTTAAGAAATTTAAAAAAAAGGAGGAGAGAAAAAGAGGACACCAAAAACAAAATGGTATAACAGCTGGTGAAAAGTTGAACCTATAACTTCTGCCGTTTCCAGTGAATGTATAGGTGGGTTCTCTTATCTAATAAAAGAAATAGCAGTATTTTCTAATACATTATCAAATTGAAGGCCAACTTCTGCCCTTCATTTTGCATGTTTGGCTCTCAAGAGCTTCAGTAGCAAAAGAAAAATTAAAAATAAAATACCTAATGGCAGAAAACAAGGTACAGTTACGAATTGCCATGGCTTTAGTATTCAGAGAATAGTCAAAAAAGCCTTTCCCTGTAAGAGAATTATATTTTTTAAGTCAGCTCTTAACCACATTTGCCTTACTAAAGTAGAGCATTGTGGCCACGTAAGTTAACCTGAGCACTGACTGGGCCTCTAATACTTAGGTACATATTTGTTTACATTTCATTTCTTTTGGGATTTTTCTTTAAACTGCCAATCAGGATTTTACAAAATGCCAGGAAAAAAGTAATGATAGTTTGGGAGGAGGGAGGAAAAAGCATTAAAAACTTGCAAAAAACTACAACAACCCACAAAACTTCTTCAGAAAGAGCACAATATGCACAACATATTTTCAAAATAATGTTTCTTTTTTCCTGGGCACTGAAACCTTCAACAATCAGCTACACCTTTGGGCTGATTAGGTTTGTCTTTTCTGGATTTTAAACTTTACAAAATATCCTCCGATTTTCAGGAACCGTTTTGCACTTTTAAGTAGGCAGTATACAGAAATGTCAAATCTTTGTGAGGATTATTTCTTTCTTTACGTGTTCATTGTTGCGCCACAACAAATTACTTTAATCTTGTTTTATTCAGCATGTAATTGAAGTACAATTTGGTCTTTGTACTGTACACACTCTACATTTCATGGCTACGAGGAGTGTGTCGTATGTTTTATGTAAATAAAATGCACTGTCTTCATTAAACGTAACTGCCGATGAAAGCATGTGTGCCATCCTTTATTAAAAACGGTAACGCCTGTTATTTGCACCTTGATCTATTACTATAGACACTATCTTTGCCCAACGTAGACAGTAGTTGAACTTTGCTATTATGCATTCAATAAGTACTTCCCTCCTCTCTCCCTTTCAGCAAACCTCCTATTTGACACTGAAATAGCTGGACTGTAGCGCAAATGATAGAGCAGACTTTGCATGCCAGAAAGCTTCAGATTCAATCCGTAGTATCTCTAGGTTGGACTGGAAAGCTTCTCCCCATGAGCATAGATACTTCTGAGCAAGATGGACCATTGGTCTGGCTTCCTTCCTATAAGTTTGGGCTTCACTAGACTGAAGGCATTCAAGCACATTGGAACTTTAGGTTTGCACAGTTAAAGGGGGTTCAAGGGCCCTGTTGCCCTAGCAAGACAGATCCACTTTATAAAAGAATTGGGTGCTTTGCGGTCTGCAGCAAATGCACAGAAAGGTGTAGGATGAACAAGCAGCCGAAAGGAAGGCATCTGAACACCCTGCAAGCAAATCGGGATGAATGCGCAACAAGAACCAGATATAATCCAACCTCAGCGTAGACTTTGTGTGAGCAAATCAGAATGAATGCTCGACGAACAAGTGGTCTGCCTTTTTGAAGGTGAAAAGGACCCAGAAAAGAATTCAAGGGGCATTGCATAGAAATGGCTTTCTCAACTCCAGGAAACAGAGACAAGTAGAGGCAACTCGACAAAGGGCAACCTACTCATACGTGTTACGTGAGTCCAAAGGGTTTAATGCAGCATGCTGGGATAGGCAAGAGAGGAAAACAATCCTCTCAAAAGCCTCCTAAACTCAGGCAGGGATCGTCTCTCTTCAAACGACAGATTGGGGCATGTCCCCGCCCTTTAAAAATCACGTTAACATACCAGGTTATAATCCTGGAATTTAGTCATCAGCTTGGCATAAAATGGGAAGGTGGGTGTACAACTGACAGGCCGAGGTTTCTTGATTGTGAAAGGAAACTCCCTCCAGATTTTTAGAAACCAGTGTTTGCACTGAGCTAGTGCAAAGGGTGGTGTTCCTCAGTTTCAGGGCTGGCTCAAGACACTTTGCTACCCTTCCCATAGCCCAAGTCAAGGTACGTAGGGGGTGGGGAAGGGGAAGGGGCATTTGATTCAGTTTGCATGTTAAGGTAAACTTGCCTAACTTACATTTTCTGAAACAAGATGAGAACCGGAATAGACTTTCTCCAAATTTTGCAGTGCAGTTTTCCAACTGGCGTATTCAAAAATGCACGCACGAGGGTAAAGTGTGCATATAAATGCATATATTCGTGAAAATTGTTTTGTAAAGGTGTGTATGGAGGAGACTCTTGAGAGTCCCATGGACAGCAAGAAGATCAAACCTATCCATTCTGAAGGAAATCAGCCCTGAGTGCTCACTGGAAGGACAGATCCTGAAGCTGAGGCTCCAATACTTTGGCCACCTCATGAGAAGAGAAGACTCCCTGGAAAAGACCCTGATGTTGGGAAAGATGGAGGGCACAAGGGGAAGGGGACGACAGAGGACGAGATGGTTGGACAGTGTTGTCGAAGCTACCAGCATGAGTTTGACTAAACTGCGGGAGGCAGTAGAAGACAGGAGTGCCTGGCGTGCTCTGGTCCATGGGGTCACGAAGAGTCGGACACGACTAAACAACAACAACAAAGGTGTGTATATAAAGCCAAATCACACAGAAAAAATGGGTGTGTTTTGAGAAATCCGCACTAAAATGCTCATGAATTCTGGTGAGGGCTTTTTAAAAAAAAAAAAAATGCAAACCGATGTAGCAATGTGGAGAACTGAACTTACGGTTGGAAAAATGAGAAGCTGAAATCCATGTATTCATGCCTCCCTACATAGTACCCAAATTATTTTGGCACGTGAGGCAGAAAATCCCACATAAAATACCTCACCTCCCCTGGAAGTCCAAAAAGAAGGAAAATTGAAATAACTAACCATTTTGGTACTTTTTAACACCCCAAATTGGCTTCCTGCCTGAGGTGGCTGCCTCACTCTGGGTGAAGAAGAGTCTTCTTCAAACCTGGAAAGAGTAAAGACACATTTACAAACCTCCTCATTTCACCCTTTTAAAATGAGCCTTATCATATTCTTCCTTTATACTTGTCCCACAAATGGGTGCTTCACTTAGCTTTTCATTAGTGGAGACAGAGCGTCAGTGGCTGTTGTTTTAAATTAGGCTTTTGTCTGCCCCTCGCGTGAAGGGCCCAGGGTGGATCACAGCTGTTTAAAATACAGGCGCAAAGTGCCGTCGCAGAAGCAACTTCTGGTTCTATTTTATGCGGAGCAACAGAACCTGGTTTAAGATCTGACACCTTTCAGCAATAGTCTCCCAAGGACGCCTGTGTTTCCTCCTTAATGGTATTAATTGTAGTAGCATGAATAATCTAGGCACGCAGCTGGCGTGCAGGAATTTATAAATGATCAAACTAATGCTGCTTTTGAAAACAACAGTCTTCTCCTTTGCGCTACTCAAGCCACCCCCCATGGTCTCAAAGGAGCTACATGTTGATGATAAAATAAACAGCTTAAATTAACGCTTATGACAATTGATATCTTCCCTCATTAGATTTCATGTCAACATCCACTATCAAAGATGAGACAATTTGCATCTTTTAAAGCAAATTTTAAGTATGCCTTTAACACACACACACACACACACAGTTGTTGCTAGAAGTCAGAGCTTGAGAAAGAATATCACGAGAAAGAGGAAAGATGCAGTCAAGACTGAAGCCCTTTTGAGCATTCGAAGTGTTTCCCATTTGTGGCAATCTTGCTGTAATCAGTTGCCTGGTCGTCTTGTGGTGAACGGGTGCCATGCTGTTCATTCAGTATCTAAGCATGGGTTTTGTATCCATTGTTGGTGCCTCACTGTTTCCCTACATCCTTTTTGTAGCACAGACAGGGACATCTGGTCCAAACTCCTGCAATGCAGGAATCTTAGCGAAAGCATCCATGACAGATGGTCATCCAAGGTAAAGGTACCCCTGAGCATAAGGTCCAGTCGGGGATGACTCTGGGGTTGCGCACTCATCTCGCTCATCTCCTTCAGGCTGAGGGAGCCGGCGTTGGTCCGCAGACAGCTTCCAGGTCATGTGGCCAGCATGACTAAGCCGCTTCTGGCAAACCAGAGCAGCGCACGGAAACGCCGTTTACCTTCCCGCCGGAGCGGTACCTATTTATCTACTTGCACTTTGATGTGCTTTCAAACTGCGAGGTGGGCAGGAGCTGGGACCGAACAACGGGAGCTCACCCCGTCGCGGGGATTCGAACCGTCGACCTTCTGATCGGCAAGCCCTAGGCGCTGTGGTTTAGACCACAGCGCCACCCGTGTCCCTCTGCTTAAAAAGTCCAACGAAGGAGAATCCACAACCTTCCAAGGGAGTCCATTCTTTCTTTTTAATGCTTTATTGTTCATAATTATATTTGTACAGCGTAAAACTCATAATCATCAAGGGAGTCCATTCTACGGTCGAACAGTTCTTGCTGCCAGTAAGTTCTTTCTGATGTTTAGTCAGAACCTCTTTTCTGACAACTTGAGGCATTGGTTCGGGTCCTACCCTCCTGGTGGTGCCCATCTTTGCCACTCTGGATTCAGAGATCTGAACCCAACTCCTTTTTGATTCGCCAACGGCAATGGAGGCAATCACCCATCCCTTCAGAACGGTGTTTTCCTATCTCTTAGGACCGACTGACCCACATTCTACCGATGTTCACATGGAACCCTTCTCCAGTTCTCATTTGAATGTTTCCTACTATCACCAAGATCTGCACCTGCGGTGGCTCCACCCACTTCCCATGCCCTTCAGGGCTCATCACAGCAGCCCGCCTTGTTGTGGCGTAGCCCCCGGAGCCAACCAAGGGTATAGTGAAGCTGGTAGAGATCCATTGCATATCTGGAAAGAATCAGTTGCATTCAGTGATGTGGGTTTTCTGGAAACATTTGAAGTGGAAAACTGAGGATACTAGCCCATAGCTGGGATCCAGACCCCCATGCATTCCTTGGCTTTCAATTGCAATCTGCAGAACGGGAAAGCTGAATTTTCGGTTTCCGCTGTGGGCAATGAGGAAGATCTGGTTGCAGACGTTGTTCCTCTTTGTTCGAAAGCAGACAGTATATCTGTCTGCAACAGAAAGACATGCATCAAGAGTCTCAAGCTCTGAAGTTCATGGAACTGCTTTAACAACATACCAAGTTTCAACTCCTGCACTGTTGAGCCTCAAAGCATGATTCCAGGAGAAAGTAGCTATACAGTGGTACCTTGGTTTTCGAACATCTTGGAAGTCGAACGTTTCAGTTTTCGAACACCAGAAACCCAGAAGTAACCTGGAAGTCGAACAGTCTTCCAGAACAGATTACATTCGAAAACTGAGGTAGGTACCACTGTAAACACCAGAGCAAGAATCACTGAGACCATGCTCTCTCTTGTCCAGATAGGACTGCAGCTGACAAGTCAGCCTACCTAAACTGGTAAAAGGTGTTCCATTCAACAGGAGAAATCTGTGCCTCCAAGTGACAGAGATGGTTCAGGGAGCACCCTCTCAAACCGCCAAGCACACTGGAGGGAGTGCGGTCCTATACAAAAGCATAATAAATGGCATTCAGGTAGCCAAATCGCCAACCAACATCACTTCCATCTCAGCCCATGATCAAGCACTATTTTAGTAGTTCCACTGCCAGGGCTGTCTTAAGCATATGCAGTGCTGGGGTACAAAGATCCGCTCGGCGCCCCCCCCCCCGTTTCCCAGGTTGCCCAGTCCCAGGCGCGCAGGAGGGCGGAGCTTGCTGGCCACCTCAGCATCTCACTGGCTTGGTCGCCCCCGAACTCGTGACACAGAGCTGCCCGGAGCAGAAGAGCCCGTCGCGGCGCTCCGAATGACGGGTGGGCTCTTCCCTGGACTCTCGGCCTGGTGCCCCTGAGAGCCCGGCGCCCGGGTGCCCCGTACCCCTAGCACCTACGTGTAAAGATGGCCCTGTCCACTGCGTCACCCAAATCAGTTGAAAAAGAGAAATAAAGCTGTTACGTTATCTGCATATTGATAACACCTCACCCCAAAATCTCCACATATGACTTCAGTTATTTTGTGTAGCTGTTAAGAATAAAATATGTGCATGCCAAGGACTCTTTTAAAAATCCTGACTAGATGACTCTCACAGTCCCTTCTAAGTCTACAATTCTAGTTTTCATGTTATAGCATAATGTTACCATCTTCTGGAATTGGTCATCCAGGAAGGAATGGAACCATCTTAAAATGGCGCCTCCAATTCCCCATCGAGAAGAAACAACAGGGCCACACTCCCTTGTCTCCGGCCTAAGATATCCATCAGGGCAATAAAATCTAGATCTAATGCTCCACTGAAATAAATCCAGAAAACCAGCCTCATCCAAAAAATGCTTGGAATTCCCACAATACCCCTGAGCACTTAGCTCAGGAAGGGGACAGTAGCAACGGGCAGATGTTTAAATCTCCCACCTTTTGTTCATTCTAATAGTATCCCATTTTATTTTATTTTTAACTGAGAGGCAAAAATCACTTTTACTCAGTCCCTAAGAGTAAAAAAAAAAAAAAGGAAGAAAAAATAATAATCCTGGAAATACTGCATTACTGTATTAGAGGATACTGTCTGCTGCTAGGTCCTTGCAATGAAAGGAGATGAAAAGACAAAACAAAATAATTCACTCCGCTGAAAGGGAAAAGGACCAGATAATTCTCTGCGAGTCAAATAACTTTTCGTATAATTTTTAATGCCATTTAAAAAGCTAACAAAACAAGTTAAGATAAAAATCGAAGGGTTTAACCTGCAGGGGTACCTAGAAGGGATAATGAGTTTTGCTATGAAAAAATAAAATGAGGGGAAAAAAGAAATATTTTAACAAAATGTAACTGGAGAAAATTATAACTCTAAATTGTTAACATAGCTTCTTAGTAAGGTCAACTGCATAATATACGGTACCTTAACCTCTTCCAGCAATTTTTTAAACACCATGCAGCTTAAATAGCCTTCTTCTGAATTCAGAGGTATTTCTTCTGGGAGACCTGAATGCAAATCAAGAGGTAATAGTGGAAGGAAATTAAAAGATGTGCTATTCTCATTTCGGTTTTTTTCCCCCTACTCGTAATAAGAAAAGCAGCACAGAGTGCGCTACGGCATAGTGAACCTCTGCCTTCTTGAATAGCTTTTCTTTCGCTGTTAATCTGAAATGCATTACACCCTGCCTTTTCAAATAACCATAGTGTTCTTTACTCTGATCAGCATTAAAGTTCAGCAGGAACAAGCAGCAGGTGTCACGAAGGGTCAACGTATTAGCAATCAAAGGAAATAATAGCCAGATTAAAAAGTTTCCCTTTAATAAAAAAATAAAATAAAAAAATCCCCAGAAACTTCTGCAACACCCTGGACCTTACTTTGAGCATAAACATTCCATGTACAGATTTCAACATTGGGGAGTCGGAATAAATTGTTAAGTAAGATGGAGATCCGAATCTACGAGAATCCAGTTCGATTTGCCATTTTTAGAAATTAATTAATAGCTCGCCATCTGCAACTAAATTGGACTCAACACACACCGGGCATTCTGGCTTGCCACAGAAGGATGATGGTAAGAGAGAGAGAAGAAAAATAAGAGACAAAATTGTGCCAAGCAGGGATGGGATAACTGAATGTGGCTTCTAGCTCTCTCTATCTGGTCCTCCAGTTGGGACTCTTCCGAGGCCAGACTTCTCACTAGCTTTTTCTTGGGTGATGCTGTCTTGCTTGAACTCTGATAAAGTTCCTTGCTGGCCTGGGTAAGTCTGCTGTTCCCTCACACATTTTCAGTGCTGGAGGAGCTCTGTTTGACTCCTCACTCATGTGGAACCCTAATCTGAGGAAAGATGTGACATCCTCATTGTTTCCTCTTCATAATTAGGTGGAAATATTGCTAGTCTTGGATAGCATCCATGAAAAATAAAGATGGCTAGCTTACCTTTAACGACCTCTAGCACCAGGGAACTGCCAGAGACCCCCCCTAGAGGAGCAATACCATCTAGGCCTCAGCCCAGTATACCTGAAGGAGCGTCTCCAGCCCGGACACTGAGGTCCACCTCTGAGGGTCTTCTGGCAGTTCCCTCACTGTGAGAAGTGAAGCTACAGGGAGCCAGGCAGAGGGCCTTCTCGGTAGTGGCACCCGCCCTGTGGAACGCCCTGCCATGAGATGTCAAGGAGATAAACAACTAACTGACTTTTAGAAGAAGGCAGCCCTATATTGGGAAGTTTTTAATTTTTGACATTTTATTATCTTTTTATATGTGCTGGAAGCCACCCAGAGTGGCAGGGGAAACCCAGTCAGATGGGTGAGGTATTATTATTATTATTATTATTATTATTATTATTATTATTATTATTTAATTTCGCCACAAAGTTGGCTACATCTACCCAAGGCCTGGTCCCAGAACAATTCTGTTGCTCCACCCCTTTTCTGTTGCTTCATGGATATGCCTGTTGTATTATGATTTGTATTATGTATATTTGTACAGTGCTACCTCGGGTTACAGACACTTCAGGTTACAGACGCTTCAGGTTACAGGCTCCGCTAACCCAGAAATATTACCTTGGGTTAAGAACTTTGCTTCAGGATGAGAATGGAAATTGAGCAGTGGCGGCGTGGGGGCAGCAGGAGGCCCCATTAGCTAAAGTGGTGCTTCGGGTTAAGAACAGTTTCAGGTTAAGAACAGACCTCCAGAACGAATTAAGTTCTTAACTCGAGGTACCACTGTATTATGATTTGTTTTCTTTTTCTTTTCCCTTTTTTATACCTGTACCTCAGCCCACATGTATTTCTAGGGAGGCTACATATCAAATATGTGTTGGATAACAATTTAATATTGATTAATTTATTTTAAAAAGACGCACACATGCTAAATGGAAAGAAGTAGCATTCCGGCATCTTTTCACGTTATGCAGATCACACAAAAATGTTTTGGCAAGAACGTACTATTAGATTAGATTAGACAACGCAAATGGATGAAACAATGAGGTGCTCAGAGTAGATTCATAAAACAAGGCAAACGATGTTAAAACCCACATTGCACCACAGAGGAAAGCCGCTCTGAAATTAGAACAGCAATTTAACACTATTGGATCTCAAAGTTTAATATAAGAACTAGCATGAGGGCTATATATAAGATTAGAAATATGTTTGGAAATATTTACAATGTAGGAGTAACTGCCAGCTGAGTAAAGCCATCAACTACAAACTGTGATACTAGTGGAAATATTAAAGGATAAAATGGTTTTAACTTCTGCATGGCTTAAAAGGGGGTGGGGTGGTATTAGAAACCAAATCTGTTGCCTATTAATCTTGTTCTTGTGCTCCAGGCTTCTTCTGAACACAGAACAATATAGAAGCGCACCTTTCTACAGGGGATACATGTTACTGGGGTGCAAACCAACTATCAGGAAGGATGATTTAATCTAATTGTAGATCATGTCCTAATTTACAAAGATTGGTCCTCACAACCTCACCTGCTATGGTGGGGTGCGCATTTTTAGTTAGATCATAAAAATAATTTCAGAATCTGCAACAATACACACATGTGGGGGGCGTGTGTGTGTGTGTGTGTGTATTTTATTCATCCTTTCAAAGATCTTGGGGCGGTTCACAGAATAAAATACAAGATAAAACATAGTAAATAATTAAACTAAAACAACAAACACCCCCTTCCCACACATGCAATTAAAATGTTGTAGGTTATTAATCAGCCATGGTTGAAGAGGAA